AAAGGTGGGAGACTAATTTCAGGCCAGTAACACCTTCTGCCTCTTTCTGTTATTCAGTTCGTCTCGCTCCTCGTTCCTGGCAGTGATAGGTATAGAATTCTTCTGCAGCATTCTTCAGGCCAAGTTAATAGTTGGCACTGAGGTAGTGGCAGGACTAACGAACCTTCCTGTCAGCTCGCTGTATGTGTGTGGGGGGGCACTGGCGTCTGCATACCAGACGAATTGTGTTAAGCGTGTCTGCTAACAGCTGCAACGTGTCCGTTTATATTTGTGAGAAACACTGACATCTGCTGGAAGGATTTTTTTCAGCTTGAACATAGATGTAGCAGACATTTTTTGTGTTTCAAAACGTACTTAGTGATTCTTTTTTTTTTAACGCTACAAAGGCATTGTCTGTCCTGTGACAGTCTGAACCTGGCAGCAGGTGTTTGGAAAGCGAGGTGCACAGGGAATGGGTTTGTCAAATACAGTCTGTGCCTCTGTCTCCGCCCTCAGATCGCCAAGGTGGAGAAGCTGAAGCCGCTGGAGGTGGAGCTTCGTCGGCTGGAAGACCTGTCCGAGTCCATCGTGAACGACTTTGCGTACATGAAGAAACGAGAGGAGGAGATGAGGGATACAAATGGTAAGGATCCAGACGCCTGAGAAATAAAAGCATGAAATCCAAAATGTAAATATAGTCCCTGATCTTTAATTCTAGGTGATCCTTCCAGACAGGATAATGCGAGAAGCAGAAATATTGTGCATAGCTCAGGCTAACTACACCCGTGTTAAGTAAATAGCTAACATAGTCATTTGATCACCAAGTGCCATAGGCCTTTACTTTAGTTTCACATTGTGCCTGTATTGTATGTTTCCCGAATGGTAAAGGATAAGTTTTTAGTACCTCTGTTGCACTGAAACAGATTTCTGTGTATCGCAAAACGTTTTATTGTTCAGTTTTCGAATAGGAAAAGACCATCGTTGTACGCCACAGAAATGGAGGATTGTATCTTATTGCACGTACTGTTCGTTTTTTGCAGAGTCCACCAACACCCGGGTTCTGTACTTCAGCATCTTTTCCATGTGCTGCCTGATCGGTCTGGCCACATGGCAGGTCTTCTACTTGCGACGCTTCTTCAAGGCAAAGAAGCTCATCGAGTAACAATTTTCTGCTTCATTTGGGAACAGGCAAATGGATGGGCTCTTTGTCGATTCAACAGGAGAAGAGCTGGAGTATTCAATAATCTAGTATGGGGAGATAATTGAAGGGATTCTCAAACAGCTGGTGTAATGTTATTCTGAAGAGGATTATACTTACCACTGAAATGCTTTTTTTCCACTCTCTTGTCATGTCAGTGTCACAGAGTAACATCATTTCAGACATGATGTTTTATACATTTTGTTTTGTAAATATTGTTTTCAGAAATGTCTATGACTGAAAGAAAATGACTCCTGGGTATAAGGAATTTCTTAAAAGAAATTCTCTTCAAAGTTATCTTCTTTCAAAATTAAAATTCCCATCAATGTTTTAATCTAGTGTCAATTGCAGGATTTATTGTGAATACAAAAAGGTCATATTAGGGATTTGTTATGCAATTGGACTATCATTATCTGTACTATTCCTTTTTTGTGTAAAGTACTTTTCCCCCCTATATATTGACCCCTCCCTAGAAGTTTACATTTGTAGACTCTTATTAGTGAGATCCAAAGTCAAATCAAACTAGAACACTTTTGTAGTTTAAGTACAAATTTTGGAAGCTGAATGTTGCTAGAACTGTTGACAAAATTCAGCCCTCTGACGTTCTCGGGAACATTTTCACATCGGGGTTTTTACTTGTTTCAGAATAATTGTACATAGGTTTAAATACTTTACACGTCAGATGATTCAGCATAAGTTATTTGGGTTCTTGGGAGGTACATTATGCTTAATTGTATAATTCTTGCAAATGAAGCCTAAAACTTAATTTAGAATAACCCCTACCCAATTTTTAAGTCCTAGATTATAATAGCGAGACAGAAAATGCATCTTACAGCTATTATAGGCTTGTGGTCTTTTGCTCCATAAAGGGTAAATTGTCTTTCTTGGGCAGAGTTTTCTTTTCCTCCCTGTGGCTGTGGGAATCGGTCCTGTGGGTAATTCTGTTTTAAACAGTGAAGGATATTTTCACTGTGGATAATTGATTGATTTGATTTGACCATTTTAAATAAAAAAATCTTAAACTTTGTTTCCTTGTTTTTTTTATACCTATATGAAAATGGATTTATACTTTTTAAGGATTTTCTTTCAAGAAATGGATTGCCATTTCTATACAAATAACATTTAGAAACATTCGCTTTTCTGTTGGATCTGAGTAAATTCATAAGCTTAATGTACACTACAGCTAGCTTTAAAAATAATGCAGAATCTATTATCACTGCAGAAGAATTTCAGATGGCAGATTTTTCAAATATATCTGGTATATATCTTGCCCTTTTAAGTGTTATATACTATAACAATGAGCATAGACTGAAATATAATTATAATTGAAAATATAATTTGTAATGTGGATTTTGCGTTTTAATCATAGGCGAAAAGATTAAACAAGTCTAAGTGTTTCTATATGACTCACTATGCATTTTAGATATCGCATCTAACGAAACTGCCATTGATTTCGTGACATCTGTTGAAGAGATGTCACGAACATGTCAGTTATCTTCTGCAATTTTCACTAAACTGCTAAAGTTTTCTATTTCAAAGTTTTACAACTAAGCGTTTTCATAAATAACCATGTTCCTCTGCTGTGCTGAGCACGAGTAAAGCAAAACAAGATGCTTGTCGACTTGGTTGCATTAGCCTGCTCTGAGATAGGTTGCTCTGCGCTCAAATGTTCTGTAGAAAATGAGAAAAGTACACAGAAGTAAAAAAATAGCAAGAAGAACATAATTGTCATTATTGTGCCAGTTAATGCTGTTAGGGCCAGGCAGATGATATGCTAAATATGAGGTTAACGAAGAGCAGTCGTGACTTCCGGTACCCAGTAGTAACATGACCTGGAAGTGTTCTCCTGTATTTCATTCCGTGCGGTGGACAGTTGTCTGACGAGAATAGTTCCTACCACTTCCCCTGGTGCTTAGAAAGTTAACAAGCGCCTCTCGTTGCAACTGCGGGCGAAGAAGATGCCGAGAGCGGATAAAGAAACCGATCTTTCCGAACGGCTGGAATCTTTCCTGTCGGACCTGAAGCGGGGAGGCAGCGGCTCTGGGCCGCCGCGGGGATCTGGAGAAACTGCCCGAGAAACAGCGGCTTTGCTCCGCAAGATAACAGCCCAAGCCCGCTGGAGCAGCGCAGGTCAGAGCCCGGAAAGCAGAGCGCTGTGGCAGGGAGTAGCCTGCACGGCATATCGGGGATTTGGGGCCCGGGTTGAATAAGGATATTCGTTTTTTTTATCACACATAATATTTTTAATGCGAGAACGATCCCGAGGAGTTGATATTTCAGACGAGTTGGATGCGTCATTCTTAGCGTAAACGTCGAGGCACAACGTGTATTGCATCTGTGTTACACGCACTCTTGTGTCTGTGTATTTTTCTAATCATTGTAACACATGCGTTTCTAATGTGTGTAGGCGATCTCATGGAAATCATACGCAAAGAAGGTAGGAGGATGACAGCTGCCCAGCCTTCAGAGACCACCGTGGGTAACATGGTGCGGAGAGTGTTAAAAATCATCAGAGAGGAGTACGCCAGGTGAGGCCGGAGGAGGGTCGTAGGCTCACTAACAGCCCCCGAGTTGCGCACACAGGTGGGAGCTCGCTGCAGCTGTACATGCATGGCTGTGCGTCATCTTACGAGGCGTTGGGCAAAAACTCTTACACAACGAGAGGGGGGAGAGAGTGTGCAACTGACCCGCGAGGAAACGTGGAATTCTGTACACGACGAGTTGTTCGTGACGGAGCGTGAGTGCAAGGCAATGGGAAAAGTAAAGTTTGTAGGATGGATTCTCAAATACCAAAACAAAGAAATACATTTTGCCCAGTTGTCGCCAGAACATTCAATCTGAAACAGGTCAAGGGCATTAAGTAGACACTGACATTTCCAGGGCAGCATTTTTTAACAATGCAATGAGAAAATCATTTTCCCATTAGATGATTCATTGAGAATCTTTAAATATGAAATATTGTGTAAAATCATCTTTGAAGTGGTGCTAAAAAGCAGCAGAGAAAGAACATGTGGAGCGATCAGTTGTCCCGCTTAAATTTCAGTGCGTTTTATTATGTTTTATGATCATATGGATATCAAATTTCAAGCATTAGAGCGCAGCTGGCACCAGTGAAGTGGTATTTGACTTAAGGCTGGCATTGTGCTACAAATAAGCCACTTCACTCCGGGTGTACTTAGCACAATATTTCAGTTATGATTGATGCTGTTGTATTATACAGTGAGCCGGACACTTAAGATGGGCTCCCTTACACAATGAGTAGAATATTTGTAAAGTTAAACCTTTTTCTGTAAACCTGATGTGCATCCCTGTGTAAATTCTGGGAGCAGTGCCCCAAACATTATGTCCTGACTTGCATTTTTCACCTGCCCTCCTGTGGGAAGGTGTGTTCCAGCACGGATGAGACCCTTTTCTCCCTGTTCTGTCGTCAGGTCCCGTGGCAGCAGTGAGGAGACTGACCAGCAGGAGTCGCTGCATAAACTCCTGACCACGGGCGGCCTGAGTGAGGAGAACTTCAGGCAGCACTTCCCCCCTCTCAAAGCCAATGTGATAGAGGCCATCAACGAGCTCCTCACAGAGCTGGGTAAGGCAGCTTGTATCAGGGATCTCCAGCCGCAGTTTGTTGATCATCACTAAATCGCCAGTTCTGAAAACTGCGCGCATTGTCCAGGGAGCTTTGTGGGGACTTCAGTACACGTTGTATGAATTTCCAGTCTTGGAAACAGGTTTTGTCGTCATTATCAACTTTTCTAATCGAGAATTTCCTTACTGTCCCCATGCACTTGGACTAAAGGATAGATGATGCCTCTCGCAGTGGCAGAAACAGCTCTGGTTGGCTGGTCTTCTTTGGGAAATGTTGGTGCTTAGTTGGGAGCTTCCAGCATCCCCTGTCCCAAGGATCAGTGAATGCTCTCCTCTCTCTGTAATGATTATGTGCAGCTTTGTGCTGCCGAGTTCCATGGGGCTGGATCTGAGCACTAAGTGGGCTTGGAGAACTGCTGCTGAAATAGTTAAACCCGTATTTCCCCGATATGCCTGTGCCGCAGTTGTCTGATGTAAGGGTAAGGTCCTTTGGGTGGAGACTTGGAAACAGTAATGATGAGGGGGGGTGGAGGGTCTGTTGTCTTGTACAGTTCCATTCTGGTTGTTCTGTTTTGGGGAGATTTGAAACAAAAAAAGAAAATTAATTAATTAATTGCTTACACTTATATAGCGCTTTTCTGGACACACCACTCAAAGCGCTTTACAGGTAATGGGGATCCCCTCCACCACCACCAATGTGCAGCATCCACCTCTTGGCCTTTTTAAGTCAAGAAAAGAAACCTCTTGGCCTTTTTAAGTCCGGTGTTTAAAATAAAAGAAGTGAGAGCAAGGCCAGGAATCCAGGCTCGGTTGAGAAAGGACCTGTGTTCTTCCTCTTGCCCAGAGGGGACCACGGACAACATCGCCATGCAGGCGCTGGAGCACATCCACTCCAACGAGGTCATCATGACGATCGGCCGCTCCCGCACGGTGGAGGCCTTCCTGAAGGACGCGGCGCGCAAGCGCAGCTTCCACGTCATCGTGGCCGAGTGCGCGCCCTTCTGTCAGGTACACCGCTCCGGGGCAGCGCGGGGCCGCCGCGTGCGGTTTCCTTCTCGAATTCCGACCGCTGGGGGCAAAGCAGAAGCGTCACCTGTCATCTCTCCCTCCCTCCTGCGTTTCCCCAGGGCCATGAAATGGCAACCAGTCTAGCCGAGGCGGAGATTGAAACGACCGTCATTACAGACGCCGCAATATTTGCTGTAATGTCTCGCGTCAACAAGGTAAAAAAAAGATGACCCTGAAGACTGAACACCTGCAGTGTTATAGCTTTATTCTTTCATGGTTTATAACACTGCTTCAGCCAGTTCCTGGCAGTAGTCTTTAATTCCACGTGAGATGTTCCCTCCCTGTGTGGACGTGTGAAGTGTGCTGTTGTTCTTGCCAGGTCATCATTGGCACACAGACTGTGTTGGCCAACGGCGGTCTGAGGGCGGTCAATGGGACTCACACCCTGGCTCTCGCGGCAAAGCACCACTCTACACCTCTCATTGTGTGCGCTCCCATGTTCAAGCTGTCTCCACAGGTACGGCAAAACCGCAGGTCTCTAGCTGTTGGTGCAAGGTCCAGTGAAAGTGTTTTCATTCTGTACTTCCAGGCCTGTTTTTAATCAAGCCCCCAAGTGAATGGAACACATCGGCTCCATTATCAGAAACTTGCTATTTCCTGAAAAGGGCTGATGCAGCTCGGAGCTTGTTCATGAGGTTTAGGGCAAAAGGGAAGGACTGGTGCTCAGGACTGACCCTCCCATCTCCTTCTTGACTGCCCTGGGCAGGACACCAGCCCCCTCGCAGGACCACGGAGAAAGGGGATAATTTAGATTAGCCGGTCAGTCCTATTCAGCAGGTGGGAGGAAGTTGAGGCATCAGGAAAACACCCATGTGAATACGTGGTGAACGTGCAAGCTTCACATAGACAGATACACAGGCCAGACCCCAGAACCTGCAGCTGTGAAATTCACCACCATGCCACACAAGAGAATTAAAATGTTTCTTTTTCCAGTTTCCAAATGAAGAGGACACATTCCACAAATTCGTATCTCCACAGGAGGTGTTGCCCTTTACAGAAGGTACTTTTTACCGTTTCATACACAATACGAATGACAAACAAAAGCTGAAGAATAAGACAAAAGTAGAATGTTGCCACTGTCATGCTTTTATTACAAATTACTCCAACCTTTGAAATATCTGTCTAGAAGGCCCTATAGACTTGTTTTTTATATCAACCGTTTACAAGTTTGCTTTTGTATTGTTAGAGAGGCTGAATGACATAAACATAGCATCATTTGTTTTGTATCATTCGGATTTTTTGCCTTATGGTAGATAGCTTATGTAGTATAAACATACAGTATATTAACCATTTGTAAACATTATTCTCATTTCAGACACTATTAATAATCATTATTTGGCATTGCTACCCTATAAAGTAGCATTTGCATTATGTCTAATTTAAAATCTGCTTTTGTCTTCCAGGTGAAATTCTATCAAAGGTAAATGTGCACTGCCCCGTCTTTGACTATGTGCCTCCTGAACTCATCACTTTGTTCATTTCCAATATTGGGGGGAATGCTCCATCCTATATCTACCGCTTGATGAGTGAACTTTACCACCC